AGACCTCTCAACCCTCAATCCAGGATGGTATTTGATAAATGCACATGTAGGTATCTGTGTCACCCCTGAATGCTAGTCTCCTGAAAAAGTTACCCCCAACATTTTGTTAGGTTTTTATTGACAGTTCATGGTTACTTGTTTACACCTCTGAGAGAGTCATTAGTGTCTTTGCTAAAGGAAATGACTCAACAAAATAGCCAATCTTGCATTTAAATGGCAAACCGTTACATAAAAATTTAGTGATAGTTTAACATGTTCTACTTAACCTAGTTCCCCACAGGATGCTGCAGAGGAAACAAAACATCTTTCAAAATATGCTGAGATAGAAATTCAAAAGATAATTATATGGAACATTACCTACCCTGATATTAGCATCTTCTATGAGTGATAATGTTGCTGTAGGATCATAGACTCCATTACGATAGGAGAGAAGTTCTGACAGGTCAAATAACCTGTTACCCTCATTGAAAAGTTCAGCTATCACACACCTGTGAAACAGAGAGAAAGAGAGATGGTGAGTCTTACCACCAAATTAACCAAGTGACTAACTTGAAGTTTTATTGCAAGAACTGCATTTGAAGTGTGATCTTCCCAATCATATCATGATATAGAAATTGTAAGTACCCTGCCTGCATTATATTGTTTTTTAATTTCCTTTGGTGAATCACCACTAATTTTTTAAATAATTTCCTGTTCTGAATCCTCTGCCACCTCATTTTGAATCTATTATGCATTTAATAGTTCAGTACCTTGAAGATCACTTTTTCTAGTATATCTCACCATTTGGACAAAAATGGACTTATTTCAAATCTACTCTCCCAGAAAAACAACAACTCCCCATGTTTTTAGTATACAATTTGCTGAAAACTCCCCATAATGCTTGATTTTAGAGTAGAGTCCCCTCCCTCCCTCTGCTTTGCATGAGCCTGTGGGGAATTAATTCCTTTTGAAAGAAATAAGGAATTTCTAACAGTGTCTTAATGTTTAAGCCACATCATATTCCTTCCCAATCTCTTTATACCCCAATATCAGTAAGCATGTCTTTCATACTGTTCCCTAGCTATATTCCCAGTTACCGTAATTTCCGGTCGTTTACCCGTGGGTAATCTGTTGATTTTGCATTAAACACGCGCCACTGCGGGTAATAGGGAGGTGCGGGTTATGTGACAATATTAAAATCTAGTGGTGGTTGAATTGAAAAAAATTATCACCAACATGCGTTTCCACATCTCAAGTGAATTTTATTGTATTAATAGTGCCGCAAAGCGGCACGAAAACATGATGCCGACTCGAGTTTATTTCACGCACGAACAAATTGCGACGAACAAATTGCTATCGGCACGCGTGAAAACAAAACCTTGATGGTGACAAAAATTATCCAAAGATATCCGGCGCATCAGTAACAAATTTCCATTTAACACTAGCTTGAGCTAAAGAGAATTTTCCCGTTTTAAGAGACTTGTTAGGCCCAATAGAACCGGAGATATCGTTTTTTTCAGATATTGCCGACACTACTTTATAATTCAAGTTTTAATACTCGCCCAGCTTTTTTTCAACAAATCAACATGGCGCTGAACGATCGCTCGCACAAAATGTGGCCACAAATTTGCATTCTGTCAAGTATGAAATGTTGAGATTTGGGCATGGGCCGCTAGTGTTTTTACTGTATAATCTTATCAATAACGTACTTGCTAATATTGACACAGAATTGTGCACGCGTCTGAATTTCTTTGACCTTTAAACTCGACACAGACGCTTTCAAGTTTTCGAAAGTTGGATCAGACAACTTTTAAAAGACTGAAATGTATCACCTTAATGTCACGTTTTCGCCACCAAAAAGTTGAATAACATAACGTGCGGGTTATCCACCAGTGCGGGTAATCTGTTGACTTTTTTTTTCGCCGTATGCAATAATCGGCCAGTGCGGGTAATCGGCCGTGCAGGTAAACGACCGGAAATTCCTTGGTTGAGGAATCATTGTCTTTATCCTAATGAGCTTAATTTTGATACAGGGGTGATCAATTTGGAGGAATTAAATGCATGGGTTGACCAGTATATTTTCACTCTATTGATATAAAAATTGGATCTTGTATTCTTTCCTTACCCAGCAGAAAATATGTCCATCTGAGGTGTCAGTGTTCCTTGCTGATGTCGAACAAAATCCATGTCTGGCAGACTGGGACCATTATTGGATTGAACATCACCATTTCCTGCTGTCACAGAGCCTCTGGTCAATAACTGATCTGCTTGCCTTGAATCCAGAAATCTCTCAGGTGCAATGTAGCAACTGCGGCGACGAGACGTGTCAAAGAAAAAGTTGAAATCTGCTGGATTATCTTCAGGGAGAAATGCAGGCTTAAAACTTGCAATGTCAGTTAACAGGACCCAGTTCCATCCAGTCACCATTACATTCTCAGTTTTGATGTCACCATGGCAGACCTGAAACACAAAGTTGATGTTCTGTTATAAGTACTGCTGTCAGAGACAAGAAATGGACATTAATTTTAATCAGTAGTTTTCAAAATCAAGGTTAAAACAACCTAGGCCACAACCAAGGGAAAAGCAACTTGAGAGAAGTCACTGTGAAAAATTTGCTTGAGAGATGCAAAAAAATTTTTGGAAAGTCCTAGTCCTAAAAGAGACAATTGCTCCCAAAATAAGTCTTCAAAATCCAAATTGTTTTGAACTCAGTTACAAGGGAGTAGAGAGAATATGAGTTGCCTTCCCTTGTTTTGGAACCCATATAGTTTAGGACATTTTGCCTCAAGGACCATTTATAGAAAATTGTTGCCTAGTATAGGCTAAACACTATAACTGACCAAGCACCATGGTAAATTTTTAACCACAAAAAAATTATGGATTGCATAACTGTGACTATAGTTTTGAGTGTACATGTAAGGAACAAGTTAGTAAGGACTAATGGGCAACAAACCTTCACAGAATGACACTGATCCAGAGCACATAACAACTGGAACACAATCCATTTCTTCTCAATAACATCAAGGAAAGGTCGAGTGCTACGAATGAATAATTTTCACAATTTTTAATAATCATCTTTTATTACTTTGAACAGTGTAAGGTCCAATGTTAATCAGCATTTCCAGCACTAATGACAAGATGGAGGTTCTGAAGCCCAAGTGGGAGCTTAAGAGTTGAAATGTAATAATTCCAAATAACAAATACATATACTGTACTTGGGTTAATCATGATTAGTTTCTTTTCATACTTAGCTACAGTGTCCATAATAACACTGTAAAGATGTAACTAAACACACAAAGCAAGCGTGTTCTACATCATCTGTACTTCATACAACAAGGTTACTACAATCTTGTACCCAACTAAAACACCTGACCATATCAAATGTCTAACATTTTTATTATAAATAAAGCACAACATGCAAAAAGTGGTAGATTTTCTTTCATATTCAAATAATTATAGAGGAGTAATGTTGCTTTTCAGTTAAAACAAAAAGCCCCATCCAGTTAGAGCTTGTCCAAGTTTCATTACCATGGAGTGATGAGGAGTGATTGAGACTTTTCCCTTTGCTACCACACTGTAATACTTTCATAATATTGATACAATAAAGATGCACAAAGTTAATGCTCATCCAGGATCTCACAATCAAAAATTGAGAAACACTTGCCTTATTCTATCATACAAGTTGTCCTTGATAAACTGCCTCATGAGCAAACTTGCTTTGTCTGTTAGAATGGAATGGTGAAATGGCAGAACATTTGGTGCTGTAGCCAGTCTGTTCTTGATATCTGTCAGCTGATCTTGGTATGTCTTCAAAGGAAGAGAGGGATCTTGGATTGCAAATACCTTCACAACACATAGTCCTTCCCTAAAAGAAGTGAAGTACATAAAACTCTTAGTTAACAAAAAAAAAATGAAAGATACAATGCAGTCAAACCTCTACCAAACAGGCTGTCATTAGGTGATCACCCATTCTTATACAGTCACTTTTTCAAATGACCTTGAGTTACATCCAGATCCCATATTTGACCTCTGTTACATGATTAGCTCCACTTAGGGGACACATAGTCCCCTCGAAATTTCTAGCAATTGCTGTTTCTACTAAAGAGTTCCCTTATTGAACTAATAAAAGTTATTCAAAATAACTGATAAAATGATTGTTAGTGATGGGAAAAATGGCTGCCTTTAAGGCATCTGCTTGCTAATGGTAAATTTCAACTAAGTATAATTTTGTTCACACTAAGATATAAATTGTGAGATACATTTTGCCCTCTAGTTCGTGTTTGCTAAATTACAGACTCCATTTCTTCAACCACAAGTGAACAATCAAGCTCTTGTAGGCAGCTCTTCAGTCACTTTCTGAGGGTGACTGCTTCAAACCCACTAACTCCCAAGATCAAATTAATAATTCTCCTTCCTGGCTGGCATATACATGTATTTCCTTGTAAAGTAGACAGGAGAATTTGGTGTTTTACAAAAAATAACACCCATTGGCTGATACACCTCTCTGTTCTCTACAAGGAACCACAAGAAGTTGCATTATAATCCCATCTGAGAGCAGAAGAGTTGAGGAAGGTTTGAATGATTACACAAATGTACTAAGCTACAAATAACTCTTCACCTTTGCCTCTTATTCAAAGAGAGAGTTTTTCATATTCATCGGAATAAATATTGACTCTGCACAATTAAGCCTCCAAAAAAAAAATTTGATTGAACAAAAGGGACATTGAGAACAGATCATGAGTAATAAAAAGGCAGAAAATACCCTGAAAGTATTTCAAAACTTCCAGTGCTCCAAGCCACAACAGTTAATCACAAAGGAGAGGACAAAATATTAACCCTTCAACCCCTAGGGGTGATTAGAAACTATTTTCTCCTATCAGTCATTGAGCTTATGAGATTAAAGGAAATGATCACCAACAAAAGAAGCTTTTGATGTTAAACAAATTCTCTTTGTCATTACCACAGGAAATGTATAGAGAACATTAAGGAGAAATGTATACTGATATTAGGGTGTAAGGGGTTAAGGCAACTGAATTTGAGACATGTTGCAAATTACATGTAAGTGACCTTGTTTTGGCAGCTGTTATTATACCTTGCTAAAATGTACATTTGTTTTTATCAATACTTATTACTAGTCTTGAGTTAAACTGAGATAACTACTTCCATAAAATATCAAGGCTCCTTTGATTTCTTACTGAAAAACATTTGCCACTATCCCCTTGAGTTTTTCAAGCATTAAGCATGGAGGTGCTACCTTAACCTCCATAAGGGATTGCCAGCCAGCCTTTCAATTTCTGGTGACTAACTTTTCATTGAGATTTTAGGTTGCCAAATTTGAAACAAGTTTAGCTTAGAGCCCTGAAAGTCCAATAACACTGAATGATGTCAGCTTTCTTCATCCAAAATTCAAGGACTAAACATTCACAGAAATATCATTAAGTGATGTTAAAGTTACACATTAGAGCTACAGAGAAACACTGAAAAAATATTTAATAATTCACAGACCAGATTTAGAAACAAAAATGTAAATCATTAGCCTAGAATTCATTTTGACCTTTGAAGTACTCTCTAACACCACCTTTTTCATAATTAATGTCTATCTCAAACAATACTTAACAATGAAATAATAGCCCATCAATTCAACAAAGAAAAAAAATAATATTTCCTGGGAAATCACCTATATCATAATCAACTTGTGCTATTTCAATATGATTGGAATCAACACTTAAAACCACTTAATAAAAAGCTTGACCTTGATAAAATGATAAATTTGGGAAATCTGAAAAGATGAGCATTTCTTTCCTTTGGCGGTGCACCTTTTCACATTTTGTTATAAAACATGCACCTTGAACTATCACAAATCAACTTAAAGAAACCCTTCTTTTCTTTACATAATTTAGCAATTACAAAACAGAAAAATAGGACTGTTACACTGCAAAGAAATACCATTTGCTTGATACATAATTTAACAGCTAATAACTGCATAATTTGAACAAGAAGTATGCACAAGTAGCTTGTTGAATAATATATGGATAATTACTAGACCTGTATTAATGCTTCTGCTTTATAGTTGAAGAAAAAGTGAAGTTAAAAAGAAGAAAAGATCTGAAACTGTCAAAGAAAATATTTTGAAAAAGATGTAAAATCATGCAATTTTTCCTGAAATACAATGAAATCATCAACACTAACTCAAATACCAGATTGTCTGTGAAGATTCAAATATGTCAAAAATCATTTGAATTCCAATTATTTTGCTAAATGTAAACAAACAAGTGTCAAGTTCTCGTGTAATGTCTGTTTTCCTACCTAAAGAGAACTGCAAGCATGATTGTTAATAAAGAGGATGAAGAGTATCATCTAAATTGTATTTTAATACATCTTTCAAGATTTTCAGACCCCGAAAACCTTATGTATACGAAAAGAAACATTATTAATAGGAATGAAACAAATGACACCCACCGCAACCTTTTGATAAACAAGAAGAGTACAACTTAATTTACAAAGAAAATTATTATTTACATTTAAAAGCAATAAACCCAGATGAATTTCATGTTAGAGGCACATGTGAAACCGCATATATTATTTACCGTAGTTTGTGATTAGGTTATGAGCTCCACTGTACATGACTGCACATTAAAAGAGTACAGTGTACTGTAACTCACCGGTGCTTCGCTCGAGCAACCTTGAAAAACCTTGTGCTTCCCAAACTGTAACAGAAAATGAGCGAGCAAATAAAATAAGAACTATATGATCTTCTCACATCATGACACTGAATTAAAAAATTAAAAGGACCTGCCCAACGAGAAGTTGTTTTCATTCTATCCATGGCTTCCTGACCGACAACTTAGGCCAAGATCCTCGGGAGGGAATATTTTTGTGTCTAGCCTTTGCACGCACGCAGCATTTTGAAAAATTAATGCTAAAATAGGGTGAAGAAAATCAATAATTTGAAAAAAATAGCCCTATTTGAATTAATCAGTCACCACTGGGAGCTTTTTAAATCAAAGAGAAAGTCCGAGAGGCAATCACAGCCTTGATCTTAAGCTTACGTAAAGGTACATCGCTAGTGACTGGCGTTAAGGTTTGAGATCTCATTCAAAACGGATTATCAAATAAAAAATCTTTCAGTACCTTCCGTCAAATTCAAAGTCGGGTAGATCGCTGAAATAATGTTCAACACTAAGGATCTGCGAAGGCGCAATTCCGGAGAGCTGATTACCCATCTCTGAGGGCACGACGAAGCTGCAGGTAGAATGTACCTTCTACGACAGCACATAACAGCCTTTGAAACCGTATTTTTGGGCCAAGCACAACAACTTGCACCCTTGGAAATCTTTCAATTCATGGTGTGCTTGAAACTTGTAAAAGTGAGTTGTTTATCGGCTATTTTGTTGCTAAAAAGACAACAAATTATCAAGAAAGAATGAAGCCGTAACAGATAAACTTGGTAACCTGGCTCTTGACGTTTATTATACATCCGCTGACTAGTAATACTGTTATAAAATATCACACCTTGCTTCTCAAACATAGACCCGCGTGTTCACACACCCCATCAGGAACCATTACTTGGAGCGTAATGTAATGTAATGTAGGGTAATGGGCTCCTGACCCCATGAATTATCTTTCTAAGTGTGCAACGCGTGTAAGGTACACGAAAGACTGAGGAGAGGTGGACGGGAAGGTGAAATATCGACATCCCGGCAAAATTCACTAAGCAGATTTTAGTTTACCAGGTTTTCAATATTCGACTGAAAAGTAACTGTTTATTTGTCCCTTTTCTTTTTTTCTCCAGGTTGTCGAAAGTTCAGTCAATGTATTCGACACCAGTCCTTTTCAGGTTCACCATTTACAAAGTTATCAAAGTAACTCTCAACTTTCTTTGCACATATAAAGAAGTAGGTTTTATTCATCACTAAGAGACAAAAAAATTGTACACACTCTAACAAAATGGAGTCTTTGATTTACCAAATCTATGTACTGGAGATAAATAAAATTAGATAGGGGAAATTATCGGAAATTCATTCTCAAAATTGTCCTTGATACTCTTTCTCACTTATCACTAGTGCTTGCTCAATGATACATCTATACATATGTATCTACGACAGGTTCGATTACCAACCGTGGTCATGATAGATTGCTTTTTTAAATCCCTTTATGGTTATATGGAACAATTGTTTCTTATCTAGACAACTGAATTACAAAAATTGGAGTCAAAATATTTTCTTAAACTTCTATCAGTGACCTGATGTTATTCAAATCAATATTGGTTTACTAATTCAAAATTCAGCTGTGAAGCTTGTCCTTTACTTTTGACATGCAAGTTTTACACCTGAGGGGAACGGGGATTGTTGTGAGAGGCGGGGGGGCACACATGATTTTCAAGGGGAATGGAGAGAGTATCAGTTGTCGCGAACAGAGTATAAAGGGGGAACTATACTGAAAATTGACTCCAAGTTAACTGCCAATGAAGAGGGATTCTAGAAATATTTCAGAGTTTTTGGTAAATTTTATCGTGACAATACTAAAATCCTCCGGCCCCCTCCCCCTTAGGCCACAAACAATGACCCCTAGATGGAAACTGATATCTATTCATCCTGAGATAAGCCACAGGGTCGACGAAATTCTTGTCCGTCCTCATGAATCCACTTGTTGGAAACTAAAGAATGAAAGAGAAATAAATGAGCACTGTTTCTCATTTATTAGTTTTACATCTGATTTATTTGCGTTAAAATTTTCATGACAAAACAGATTAAACTCCTTACCCCATTTGGATCCTATTATGACTGGACAACCCGCGTGCCGTGTTCTTACATCTGATTCACCCGATTTGAGAAGGTTGAACCAAAACGCTGCAGTACCCTGATAAAAAAAGCAAAATCAGTAAAATAATACCCAACCAAAAGATAGTAATAAAATCGTGGTTAAGATTTGCTCTTATTGCAATAAGAACACACGAAGCGCTGTATATTGAAGTCTAAAAAGTAGACTCAGTTCTATATGTAAAAACTGTAAGGCCGGAAATTTGGGCCTTGGTTTTAGAGAGCTCCGCAAAACACAAAATTACGATTAGAGCGAGCGAAAGTGAAGGCGTCACTGACACCAACTTGTTTGGACTGTGTAATTTACCTTTTTAGTTGGAATAATTGTTTCTGCATCCAAAAAGACGGTGGAACCTCCTGCCTCCACGTCACTCATCTGTCGAACAATGTTCAGGAATTAATGAAGAATCAGGAGCCATTAGCAATGGACTCCTAACTCTATTTGTTCAGTGTCTCAAATTTAAATAATGTTCTATTTGTTTGTTTGGCATCTGAGTGATTCAGATTATGGTGGAAGTTTTAAAAACCGGTTACAGATAATAGCTAGGGACTGAGCCAATTCAATCTCTGTTTATTAACGATACTCAACAAACAAAAAACTCATGTACTTACATATATTAAGACAGTGGCAATTCTATTACGCTTGCCCATCTTCAAGATGGCTGAATTCTTTGACTGTCGTTAAAAAGGGAAAAAGGTAAAAGAAGAAAAAAAATGAATAATTAAAGATGATAAACATGATTACGATGAAATTGTTTATTGAAATTACCTCAGTAATCTATGACCTAATACCTAGACTTTGACCTGATTTACCAGACTGATTGACCTCCCCCCAGACCTCTCGCTGACAAGGAGGTGGGAGAATTGTCTGGGAACCATGCCTTCTCACTGCACCCAACAGATTTGGCCTGTCCCAGTGTTCATTCTGACCACAGCATTAACAAAGTCACTTACTGTCTAGCAGGTTTGTAGCACTTACCAGTGCGTGATCCAAGTGTGGTTCGTATTGACCAGCTATACCGTAGTTAACGACCTAGTTAAAAGGGATCAAAATACGCGCAATCAGGTAAGTCCCAACAGCGATATCTAGTTTTGGCTGCCGAAGTTGTTTGATTCATGAATTGAAGGATTCTTGGCACCTTTTGGACTCAATTCGGGGGGGAGGAAGTTTTCAACCGTAGTGTTGCATTGTTGGGGGTATCACAGGACAATTCGGTTTTATTGACTGAGTTAATTATGAAAATTGACCAGAGTGGTCATATTATTTTATTAACTTAGTTGACCAAACCAAATTATCTTGTGGGGATAGGAGATTTATTTGAGAGGGGTGATATGATAGACAAAAATAATATTCATCAACTGTATCTGTTTTAAAAATGTTATTAATTTATTCAATTATGTAGAAAAAAATAAAATGCCTACCTGTAATGCTTCACTATGCTCCCTGGCTGTTGACAGACCAGTAATGGCTTTCAATTTTTTATTCAATCTTCTGATGGCTTCTCCTTCAGAATCCTCCAACCAGGCACTGTAACAGAAACCTTATTTCATACATGTGTATTTTTATTTGTATGTGTTTTCATTTATCAAGATGGAAAATAATTTTGGTGCTTGTTATTTAGATCATCTTTTCCCTACCTCTTACTTATCCTGTAATCAGCAAATTCAAGATTTCCAGTGAATCTGTTGGTAACTGTAGCTCTTTGAAGCTAATTCAAAAGATACAAAAATCGAAACAGATTAACAACAAAAAAACATTAGTTGCTCTTTTTTTTTAGATTTTACTTATCTTTGTATGAAGGTCAATATTTAAACTTGTCTAGTTCTAGGTTATTTCTGTGTCATACATTTTTTATCTATCATCTTTAGATATTTAATGATTTTCTTAAGACCATAGATTTTGATATTGACCCTCTGGGTTTCTTTTCTATTATCATTCATATCTTGAGGAGTTACAGATTGGACTCTAGTAAGATTACAAGTGGTAATGGAACAAGTTTGTGAATCAATCATATATATGTCAGTTCTGATTTTTATTCTAGTGACAAAAAAATGCAATGTTAACTGTTATGATTTGAATTCATAATAAGGTTTAGCAAGCTTATAACTCAAAATCTGGTGCACTGCACTAGATTTTTTTGTGTGTGTGTGTGTGTTTTAGAGGTATAGAGTATTTTGTCAGGGTTCCTAGCAGCTATACTCCTTTACTCCCGGGTGGAGAATGAGATTCATCTTTTTGCCTTCCCTTATTACATCATATTAATTCTGGGAAAATTAACTGTCCTGTATGTGGTACTGGTAACTAGGACCAGGACCTTCTGATTGTGTGGAGGGGAGCACAATACAATATGGCGGTCTTAGATTGACTTTGTGTCTATTACTTTGTTTAACAAACACTAAACTGTAGACAACTTGAAAAACTGACCGTTGAAGAGGCTATCAATAGCTTAAGAAGTACTGACATATTCAAAGGACTGAAATAAGAGCCCCTTCTCTTTTCACTCGTTTTCTCTTCTTCTCTCTCCAATTTATTGTTCATCCCTTGTTATTTAAAGTTAAATTGACAAATGTGTCACAAACCCTTGGAGCTGCACGTTCCTTGATAAATTCCATATCTTCATCTCTGATAATATCATGAAGGAGATATATGTTTGGTTTCAAACTAGCCATTTCTATTTTGGCAGGGTTAAGAACCAATAGTGGATGTTTGTTGTAATAATAGCATGTTAACATGTCCATCTCAGCCTGGCTCTGCGAATCAAAGCAAAGCAAGTCGGGGTAACAACCATTCGTTCATCTGAAGAAATGTTAAATTGATTTAGAAATACGCTTGGTGAGGGAAGTGGCGAGGGGCTTATTTTTTTGTCGTGAGTCTTTTCCTTTTGCCGTAAGGTTTTCTCTTTTGCCGTGAGTCTTTTTCTTTTTGCCGTGAGGTTTTTTCTTTTGCCGTGAGGTTTTTTCTTTTGCCGTGAGGTTTTTTTTTGCCGTAAGTCTTTTCCTTTTTCACATGAGCTTCTTTCTTTTGCCGTGAAGTTATTTTTTTGGCCGCGAGGTTATTTGTTTTGCCGCGACAATCGTGGGCTACCGTAATTTACCCTTTCGGGATCATATTGAACTACGTCATCAGCGTTTAAGTTCACAGAGAGTAAGTAACAAATGCCTATTACCAGGTAGTTTTCAAAGAGACGTCAAACCACACTATGCCTCCACGAAACTAACCACTACAAAAGATGTCAACGCGATCATCCTATACACACCTTATTGGACTCTCCTCTGCACAGGCGCTCGTAATGATACATAAATTCCTCTTTTGGCGGAGCTTTCTTAGGTTCTTCAGACCCAGTTTCCTCGTCATTTTCCTCGTCATTTTCCTCGCCATTTTCCGCGTCATTTTCCTCCTCTTCTTCAATGTAATTTCCTTCTTGCATCATTTTAAGTCTACTCTCATAGAACTCTTTGCCCTGTTTCGCTTCTTTATCATTTGGATCTGTATTTGTAGATATATAATGTATTGAAGGTGACGCGTAGTCCTTTAATAAGTCTATTTTTAAGTATTGGGGGAGGGAGCCGAAGAACTAGATTAAAGAGAGTTGTAGGGAGCCCGATAAATTGCATAGTCGGCATAAACTCAACAGTCGTATCATAGGTAGCAGGTGGTTCAAATTCTTTACAAATTAGAGAAAGAAATGGAACCATGGATTTCTCGCTCTTTGCCATCCCTCGATCGATCGTCACGCCTTTCCTTGGGCGCACTCAAACTCGTTACTCGCGTCTTTTTCTTCAAGTACGTCACTTTAGATTATGCTAAGAGCAATTCTCCGTTTTTGGTCCTTCATATATATGTATAAATTAGGAGAAGTATCGTCAAATTGTCGAATTTTCGTCGTAGGGATTTTCCAGTTCCTGATCAACTTACACCACAATTACAATTGTTTCAATTTTTATGATTTCACAGGAGATTCCTTTCTCGTGCATGCTTTCTTCAAATGGAAAGAGACACAATAACGATATCATACCTTCCTCGAGCAAGAGATTAGTGTGATAAAGAGCGCCTTCGATTCTACCTGTCTAAAAAAGGAAAAAAAAATGTTTCCATCTCCACTGAATTTATCCCTCAGATATTTGTCATTTGATTTTTCAACACTACACAACACATGTTAACAGATGTGAAGATTAACTAACAGATTAACAACATTTTAAGGACGTGAGAAGCAGAGCAGTTAAACCAAAACAAAGGTAATAACAACGGCCAATCAGAAGAAAGGAAAATATCTCTAAGAGCCAATGAGAACTCAAAGTAAAATCAACAAAACTGTCTAAAGCGCGGGAAAACGCGGGCGACCAAGTCGTGATTTGTTTTTGTTTTGCATCTGATTGGTGAAGAAGTGGCGCGAGTTTTCTGAACCGATCACAAAGCGGAACAAGGCAAAACCCAGTCAATTCTAGATTACATTCGACACAATTTTCTCTTAAATATTTAATGCATGAAAACTAATTCTATATATTTCCAAAAACTGACATTGAAAGAAAATTGAACAGTATCACAACAACCTCGAGTAGAATGAGGATGGACTGATACTTTATCTGAGGCTTCTCTCAGGCAACAAGATTAGAGGGAAGGCTCGGAACTGAACTATGCTGTACTTACCTTATACTCCGCCCAAATCAAATACTGAAGCACGTCCCTGTTTTGAATTCCGCTGCTTTTGTCTAGTGAGTTCATTCGTTTCCAGGCTTCCATAAACCATCCATAAGCCTGCTCGTAATTTTTCCAATGATGATTGATGTGACCTAGCTCCAAGCAATGAGCTGTTCTCATCCTGGGGCTCAGAACTTTGTCGGATAATCTGCCGTCTGCAATTTTCTCGGCGCTGATGTGGTAGACGTCTTGAAGCCGCAAAATTGCCAAGGCGCAACCTTGTAAGTCCTTTAAATCGGGAAATGACGAGTTGTATTCATCGATGATTTCACGAAGTTCTTGAAGAGAGTGAATTTCATGTAAAATAAAGGATATAGATGCGTATGTAATACAATTAATAATACAAAACATGACTTCTAATCCCCTAAAAGAAATTTTTGTAACTTAGTATCAACCCTGTGATCTGAAATCTGTATCAACTTTTACCATCGGCAGTGTCCGACTCGTTCTCCATGGAAGCATATATGTACATCTTTCGAGGTGCGTGTAACATTCCCGAAAGAATACAATTGAGAGGGATTCCTAAGCTCGTCTTTATTGCTATCGTAGAACTAGAAAACAGTTCTGATAGAGATGAAAAGCCTAACAGAAGAAGTGAAACCACTGGGAATTATGAATTCTATTTACTACAATTATCGTTATTATCGTTATTATCGAATCAGTGCTTTCTTTTTAACATTCTGTCATTTTCGCTTTAAATTCGATTAGGTCTTCTTTTAGCTATATGACGCAGGTACCAGCAAGTGCTTTGCAACAATGCACGTGTCTATTACAATGTTCATTTCCTAAACAATCACTTGAATGGTCTCACATGGTTACAAACAAGCAAAAATTTTGGCATTTATATTTAGAGGTACTCCTTAGTTTTTTTCCTTATTAATTTAAATTTCTAAATTTCGGCATTTTTAAAGATTATTTTTATCAAAAGTAAAATTTTGAAGCTAGGCATTAATAGTAATCAGCTGTTAATTGCTTTCTCGCCGATGGACGAATTCGATTTAAATCAGATTTTAAATAACGTCATTGCGTGAAAAAAGAACGAGAACATCAGGGACTAATTTTTGACTGATAAGCCAATTTAATCCAAATAGTTTTATGCAATTAAGTTACGGCGTTCCTCAATTCAAAGTTTGAAGAAATTTGAAGAAGTTACCTTTTCCAGTGGGATTAGTCACATCTAATTTGTTGCCAACATTACTCCACTCCCTTAAAAACCGCCATATAAGTAAATACGAGTTCACTGGATGGCCAATAAAAACTTCCATATCGGCATCTTGTACATCTTTCACGTGTGTCCGAACGTCTTTTGCCAGCCGCTTTAAATCAGACGGCGCGGAGGGATTATAGTGCAGATACTGTTGCAAATGGCCTCCCAAAATTATCTCCATTTGGACCAAATATTTCATATGAGCTAATGCTAAGAAGACCTCCGAATGAGTGAACGAAATCAGGGTGAACAACAGAGAAAACGTCTGCATTAGATGACAACATCTTGGAGCCATTTTTTTGTCTTACTCTCGTTCAGTTAGAGCAGATCAATAAAGAGCTGTGACGTCACGTCGGGTACCAGCGCTGTCTACTGATCAGGTGTAATTTGATTAAAGATAACGTAATTTTGTTTTGTTTTGACTATTTAACACAGTGTGATATCTCGAAAATAAAGAGAAACCGCTCAGCTGCAGTGAAATGGTTTGAATGCAGGTTGTCTTTAGCGCTCTCAATGCCACGGTGGTCTTTGACAGTCCTAGTAATTTTTTTTGGGTGTGTGCAGTGATGTTGTTATGCATGCTAATCTCTACTTTCTGTTGCATCAAAATTTCCCGCTCACTTCGTCTTTATCAAGTACAGGGGCAAGACCAATATCATCAAGGACAACGGAATTGGAGATAGAATTCAACTGAAAAAAGTACAATACAGAAAAACAGTGTGTAGAGCACTTTAGGTACAAATAGCCTTATTGCCTTGTTATTTTCCTTATGGATAATTGGTCAGTACGATAACTATCAGAGGATTGAGCACACCGTCTCTAAACTTCTGCAGACTTTAGCGACACCTATGATTTTGTCGAACTCGACTATAAATACATTCTTAAAGTATTGAAGGATGAGAGAAATTAAAAAAGCCGTAAAAGACAAGATTAGAAAGGTCTGGCTGTTTATCTCGCTAAGAAACTGTATTGGCCCATCAGTGATGAAGGTTGTCGTAATTCCAGTCTTGCAGTTTAATCAGTTTGGTTATACTATGTTCCTGTTTAGGTAAACAAATTCACTTAAAATTTTCCAAGACTCAGTGGTCATATAACGATTACTCAGTGACAGAGTTCGGTCGCGCCGGACAGGAAGACATTTGATTCTTGCTTGGTAATGACGCACTAACGTCGCTGCGCTCATTCCGTCCTCGGGCCAAATAATTTCCCGTACGGCCCTCCCACTAGGTCAAGAAGAACATATTATTTTGGTAACCATGATCTTGTTAAAAATGGTCCAAAATTCTAACTCTTTCGTTCTATTTGCGTCATGCTGTAAAGAAACAAACGTCACTCTCATGCGAAGGCTACCTGGAAGCTTCGCCAAAGTTTCAGTGGAAAAAAAAAGACTAAATATCCCTGAACGTCTCCATGGTTCTTTTTAATTACATCTTTATGGCAGAAAAACACTTTAGAGCGTATCACAGGGGTGATCTTGATCCCGTTTCACGCACGTGTTTTAAAAACATTCATACTTCACGCACATCGAAGGGAAACATCAAATCTCTCTTCTTCAATGTACAAGGTTGCAGGGAAATATTGAAGTTTTTAGGAAATGAAAGAATAAATTCACGGGTCACATATATTATAAGATGCAAATCCCGCCTCACGCTGGTTCATATAATCACGAATCACCCTCGCCCTTCTGTAAAAGTCACGTTATCAATTTTGGACTTAATCCCGCTTCGCGCATGTTTGCGCTTCACTTAGTCAACAAGGCAGTACCCTTTATAGCCCTCACCCTCTACGTCGCATGCTGATTGTTTTAGTTCAATAGCAAGGTGCAGTGAATCATCAAATGTGTATTTTTCTGATCGTGTAACTCCGCAATGGCGCAGTTATGTCAGTGGAGTTAGATCGTATGGAGGCGTGAAGTGTTGTCGATTCGATTCAGAATGAAAGCTTTGGTTTACAAAGTGAGCGGTTCCAACCCGAATTTGTTAATCACTGAAATATTTTTTAGTGCACTAGTTTATCCCTATTTGAATGTTTGAAGCACCGATAAAAAATTTTAATATCGGCCCTGATATACAATTAGCAAGCGGACCACAATTTCTTTAGGAAAGATGAGAACGTTGATGAGCGAAAACTGGAAATTAAAGAAGAAGAGAAAAAAAAAAATATATATATATATATATATATAAAACGAGATAACCGTCGTTGCAATAACACTCGAAGACCTCCTCTCTTGCAATATATAATATTCCCTTTTTTAAAAGTCAGCAAGATCTGGTTTTACTGTTAATTATCAACAGCTGAGGTCTACAATACCATAAGCTGTTCGAAAAAAGCATCATTGAGTTTTAGGTGTTGTTACGGGAGTTGGAATCGTTTGGCTGGAATTTGATTTTCAAAACTGGTTATTTGATCGTTCCAGGCTATCTTTCTATACTTCTTCGGCACTCAAGACTGCTAATATTGTTTGCTTTAGTGTTACATGTCTTTACGAAACCTTGATCAGCAGTGCAAATATTGTTTCACTTAAAATTTGCGTGGTTTGGATACGAACACTACTGAAAGTTTTTGCCATGCTCACCATAAACTTTCTCTGAAGCCAATAAAACCGACTAGAAAAATTTCTCACGATCTCCGCGTGGTTATGAAATTTATCTTACAACATTTGCTCCCTATTTGAAAAATGACCCTCGTTGACATCAAATGTTGCCATAGAGGCGAGGTGATACATTAACATAAATCAACGTCACTCGGGTTAATATTCCGCCTCTAGTAAGCGGCCTAGCGAAACAAAAGTACCTTAATTTACATAACAAGAGACACATTCCACCAGGAATATGCCGCAGCTAAGGAGTCCGTGATTAGTAGTATATATTTCTGCATCAGTGCATTGCTCATTTGAATGCGGAAAATTCGAGTTGATGCCGTTACTGTGGCAAAAAGTCGTGTAAATTCTAGTCCAGTAGCTTTGCTTCCTTTACAATGAAGAACTGGGACAGTTCAAGATGACAATAATGTAGACATTGAAAGGAAATCGTTGGTTGAAGCCTTAGAACAGTAAGGTTTCGCCGGTTTGAACGAGCTGGCAACATGAAAACAATATTGGGTTTGGCAGTTATGGCTTGTGTTGTGTTTGGAGCATCTCTAACGGCCATCGACACAAACAGCGAAACAGGAAAATCTGCTAGAAGACACCAGGGTAGGTGAAAAACGCATGATGCACCCAAGTTTTCAACTATTGGCTTATTCCATACCATTCGTGAGTTAAAGACACTGTTCTATTCGTAATGTCTTGGCAGTATATTCTGGAAAAATGCGATCGCAAAATTGGGTCAAGGGCAATGCTTGCAGCAGATTACAGATGTAAACTCAGAATATTCCCTGCTAAGAAATTATGTTACGATAGGAAATGTTTTGATTTCGACAAGAATGTAATAACTCGCCTAAACGAGAAATAATTGCTGTGATTAAATTATTGAGGTATATTTACATTTTGTCCCCGTGAACAACATTATAAGGCACTCCAGCAAAAGTTAAAATTTGAAGCTTCTGTTTAAGTATTAACTGATTTTAACCGGAAATAGTGTTACTCCAAACTTAAACCACGTATTTTCGCTCTTAAAAAGGTTTGAATTAGCCGACTTCGGCAAGAATAAATTAGTCAGTTGTTGTGTTCAGCAAGTGCAACGAATGGGTCGCAAATCGACGCAGTACTCAAGTAACGCTTCTCTCTTCTTGGATAAAATAGCGAACTCAAATTATTGCAGTAGCAGAGATCTCATGTTACGTTGTCAATTTTCTCTCTACACACGTATCGGCTATATATCACTCAAGTGAAAAAGTTTGAAGGTTCCTTGAAGAAGTCAATCAGGTTTAGTTCATAGATAGAGACAATAAACGACTTGGCACTTGTGGCTTTCGAGAATTGATCTTCACGCACGTTATACCTCCGTAGAAATCGTGTAGTGCATTCAATCCTCTTCCAACACAACGAATTTTTTCAACACGGCCGCCGAAATATAAACAACGCCAAATCTTAAGAGTTTTAAGGCCTTCGTTGGAAGCCATCCCAGTTTAGTTTACCGAAGTTTAAAAGTAATAATTCACGGTGAGTTAATTTTTGCTCACCCGATTGCAATCGGGTAGAAGATACTCTGTAACTTTAGGAGAAAGGTCGGTACAGATAAAATTAGTCATTTTAGAGCCCTTCCGATTGCTAAAATAGTTTTTGCCACGAGGAATTATTACTAACTATAGAACGTCACTGACATTTTGCCTCGGGCTCGTCATGCACTTTTTCAATAAAAGGGCGAGATTGTTTTTTTTCTCCTGGTTTTGTATTCTCATTTTTTCAGGCTCTGCCTTTGTTTAATTTTTCTTACTCTAAGAAAACAACTCCTCAATGATGAGCAAAGTTCAAAACTTATTCCGCAAACGGAGTAAGATAAGACACTCGTTCCTGGTAGATAGAAACAGATCATAATCCCTGTGTGTTCCATTTTTAGAGAGCATATGAGTCGTCATGGTTTTGAAGCTGGCTTGCTGTATTTATAAGAAGCTTGTTAAGTTTTTGAAGAGAGATTCAAAAATCCTTAGAAGGAGCTCAACGCAAATTGGGGAATGGACAAAATAGGGACGAGATTAAAGGGGCAATGTAATTTTCTAGAGAGATTAATATTTTATATGGTATTAATCGATTGTTTGGATCTGACTTTAAAATATGGATCTCTCTGGAAAGGTGTTTAAAATGCATGTGCGATAAAAACAAACTTTCCGGGCAAAAAAAAAAAAAAGCGTTGGTAAATCTCTTGTGAAAAACATACAATGTAGGTCAGGTCGTTGTCAAAAATAGGACCTAGGATTTCAAATGTTGTCACCAGTTCGTCGATAAGACGACATGTGTCAGGGATGTTTTGTTGATACCTGTTTTCAACTTTGAATATCGTTAGCTGAAAGGGGTTGAAAACCCGTGGTTAGTTAAATATATTAGTTTTTATAATATAAAATACTATATAACATTTTTAGAAGTTTATGGTAACCATTCGCATCGGTGATGTTTGCTCAATGACAGCGTGACGAAGTTAGAACGAAATACTTAGATTTTGGATGAGCTAAATTTTGGCTGAAATCATAGTTACAAAATGATATTTAACTCTTGACTGAGTGGGAGGGGTAAACTGGAAATTAAGCGGCCTGAGGTCGGGACATGCGGACCGATGTCTTTTTGCTACCTTGTATTTTCCGCGAGGAAAACGTTTTTTTTTTCCACATTGAAACCTAAACTTTGTTCGCTACAAAGTGGAACCATATATCCTAGCACCCTCACCTTGAATAGTGATAAGATCATTTTATTTCGTCTTTGTTATCTCTTGTGATAAGAACTTTTCACAACCTTGCTTCCTAACCCATCTTGATTTGCACGTATTTCGTCCGGTGTCGCGGTTGAGTTACATTTTTAGAAATAATGGAAAACAGTCGAGCCTCTATCAAGTGGTCACTTACGATGAATGAAAGGACGACCCGCATAGAATAGGGGTATTTTAGAAAACGATAAAATTGACCACATAGGATACAAAATATCGCTCAAAAATACTACTAACATTGATTTCAGGCGATAAACATGGATTCAATTTTATTTGAAAGATTATTATTAGTTTTATTTAGTTTTATTTTTGGGGCTCCGCTTAAAGTGTCCGTTCAATACAGGTGAAGGAAAATGCAAACAGGCCATTTTAAGTGATGTGATCTTAAAGTTAGAAGCTTACGGCGTTTTGATTCAGTCAGTAAAAACAAAGTGAACTAAAAATAACATGAAATCGCAATCGTAAAATTCAAATTTTTGTTTTGACCCTTTAACCTCGAAGCGTGACTGACGTCTAACTTTTGCTTACAGTCTCGCCTTTGAATCAATTGTAAATGTCACGAGCATGAATAAAATCAGGATCTCCGATTTACACAAATTCTCCTTGTCAGTATTTCTCGTCCTAGTCTTCTCTTGGTTGTAGTAGGCTCTACAAGAGGCGCGTTAAAAAAGGGAGATGGGAAGGAAGAGAAAACAGATGAGAAATGCATTCCCATCGTCCCCTTAGTTGCATCTCCATCTCTTTCGCACGCTTCTAGCGACAAATAAGAGGCGGCACTACCATTCTGAATTTGTAATATGTTTTTTTTTTCGCAGCTTCTGACGAAGAGATATTAATTATCCTTGGAAACGGTTTGCTTCCAGGCCGGCCACAATATAAACCACAGCCATTCAAGCCTGATAAATCTTACAAAAATATTCCCAAGTGCATGAAAAAAGAATGCATTAATGAAAGTAAGAGTATGTTTCATCTGATGGACACATCCGTTGATCCTTGTGAAGACTTTTATCAGTACGCATGCGGAGGATGGCTCAGGAAACCCCTACCCGATGATCATGCGCAGTGGTCCGTATTTACTCGCTTAAGTGAACAAAATGAAAATTTACTAAAACGTCTCATTGAAGAACAAGAGAACTCAGGTAAGAAAACGTGACAAGTAGGTATTAAAGTGAAAACGTTGACTAAAGGAAGCGTGATTAAAGTACTTTGTTGTCGATCGCGGAACCGCAAGTCACGCAACACTAATTTACTGTGATTGTGTCAAGGAATAGACGATTGAAAGCGAGTCATTATTTCTCATTGTAGGGGATGTAGAGGCCGGGATGTTTTGCGCAGATATTCCTTGACGCGCGTGACATGTGATCTGTTTAGCCAACCACACTTTGTAAACCAATGGGAAGCTTACATTCACCTCCCATTTCATTTCGGTTCAGAAAGAAAAAAATGATCGTCTGAGTGGGGTAGTAGGGATCACTGTTGGACTAACCACAGTCAATCAAAAAAAAGAGAAGGATCTAGCGCAGATATTGATAGGATGAGTTATCTTATATTGTGAGGCCTTAAGCTGCCATAGTTTTACTGGTAGGTTTGTGTTTGATAATGATAAAAATAAAGAGAAAGGAACTTCTCAAATTCAAAACTTGAACAAATAGAGCGCTTTTCGATTGGTTGTCTTAAAACCAACGTAATCTCAACGGCCAATTAGAGGAAAAGGAAATATTTTTAAGCACCAATGAAACTCAAAACCAACCACCAAAACCAACCACCAACACTTGTCTAAAGCGCGGGAAAACGCGAGAGACCAAGTCGTGATTAGTTCTCGTTTTGTGTCTGATTGGTTGAGAGGATAGCGCGTGTTTTCTGGACCAATCACGGAGCGATGTTGCGCAAAACTAATACAATCCTTAAATGTACTGGTCTTTACGATTTTTCGCTTCTTCGCTTTTTTCGCTTCCTTCTTCCGTAAAGAATGGCTTTATCATGACGAGAAATTCTGCTGATTCAAAGTCTCTTCTTATGTCTACAGATAACAGTGTGGGAAAACTAGTTTACAACTGGTACGCTGCCTGCATGGACGAAGATGAACGCGACAGGCTGGGAGCTGGTCCACTACTGGAGTTAATACACAATACCATGGGAGAACAGTTCAATCCTTTTGTACCAAACGACTTTTCTGGTGAAGATTGGGTACTAGAAGATGTGTTGGGCATCGTCCATAGCAGCCTTAACGTGTTTCCGTTTTTCACAATAAATTTGGGCATCGATCCACTGAATTCTTCTTCGCCAACACATCTCTCGGTGAGACCAGATGAAGTAGGGGTTAAATCATTGTAAACAAAGACATGAATAGAAACGAATGAGCTAACAAACAGAGGTACGAACGAACGAACGAAAAAACGATAAGCAAAAAACGAGAGATCAAGTGTACGAACAAACTTACTTACTGACTAACTAAAGAACGACCGAGCGAGCGAATCAACTAATGAACAGACAGACAGGCGAGTGAACCAACGAATCAACGAACAGACAAGCGAGTAAACCGACGAATGAACGAACAGAAAAGCGAGTGAACCAATGAATGAACGAACAGACAAGCGAGTGAACCAACGAATGAACGAACAGACGAGCGAGCGAACCAACGAATGAACGAACAGACGAACGAGCGAACCAACGAATGAACGAACAGAAAAGCGAGTGAAGCAACGAATGAACGAACAGACAAGCGAGTGAAGCAACGAATGAACGAACTTATGAACGCGAGATCAATCTCTGCAGATGACTAATTTTCGAGCTGGTGATATCTGAAAACCTAGATCCTACCGTGTAGCCGTAACTGAAATATGTGGACCTTACAACCAGTCTGGGTACGAGACTAGGGTAGGGGTTCTGAGAGGCCAGCGGCACATACGCTGCAAAACTAACACGAGTACCCTTCCAGGTGACTCTTCCCAGCTACACCCTACATATTTGCGCTTCTAGAGACGTTAATTGATCCTTATGTCTTGTATCAATACGAACGTTTATGCCCCAACAGATTAATGAAGCAAAACCGATGATGCGGTTACATGACTCATATTTATCACAGGAAGAGCATAATGTGTTGGTAAGTTAATGGATCAAAATTTACAATTTTTTAAACCGTGCATGGTGTAAACAATCACTCTGCTTTAGGAATCGCACGTGTAAATAATCACTTCGGTATGTTAAAAGGTTAGACAATCATATACGCCTATTTTTCTTTGACCTTTGAAAACTTGAATAGAACCGCGAAGAAACTGGGTCAATTACTTTTATCACCGTACAATGCAGGTTAGCTTTCCCTGAAGCTTGTTGTGGATAATTCAAGCATATCTACTTTGATCAAATTTTCGGCCTCTTATATAGAGATTCTAGTTTTATTATTGGCTCAGAAAAACCTCGCTCTTTGGCTCATACATCATAGTATGACCATATGTGGTAAATGATTGCGCTCGGAGTTGCCAAGCGTAAAACTTCTTGGACAAAGTGGCTGAAAAGAGCAGACTTACAAGCTTTCTACAGAAAAAATGTAACAAGATATGGAAAAACCCTATCAGCAACGACAAAGAAAGCATCAAATTCAATGAACTGAATTGTATCATTTAAAAAAAATTGTGAGATGCGCAAGTTAGCAACATGAATGCACGTGTAACTGCGGCGGTAACGAGTGCTTATATAATCGCATTAATCTTGGTCTAGAGTTGGAGTACCAACAACTTCGCTCTGAGTTAGAAGACTCACAAGCGGTTCAGTTTTATTCAAAGACCAATATCATCTCCCCGATATATTTTAATCAAACTTTTTTGATAGTTTATACTCAAAATTATGTTTCGCTCTTTTACTAATCAGGTAACTCAGGCTTACATGGCGTTGATGGCAAATCTAACGAAGCTTTTGGGAGCTCTAGATTATCAGGATGCGAATTCCATCATCCCGGAACTTAAGGAAATTTTACTCCTTGAAGTTGACCTGATCAAGGTAATTTTTTACACTGCCTCACTTCAGCACTTGTTTAATAAGCTTGGGTATGTTGTCTTACTAAACCAATTTATAAACTTGTATATACCACTGAGCAGAAATGTTATTTCCAAAGGCCATGAAAAATGAAGAGAAGGAAGAAGAGAAGGGTAATAAATGGACACTGAAGGATTTCCAAGCGAATCTTCCAGAGGTATTGTACATGAAAAGCGTCTAAGCAATTAGTGCTGTAAAATGATTCACGCTGAAAGACAGCAATTTGAAGCGACTTCTAAAACTGTGTATGCAGACTTGAAATGAAGCTTTCCACAATCCGAGAATTCTGGGATCCGTTAAATATTTTTTAAGTCTTTGATGGGACGTGAAAAATAACACCTGGAGCCTCGAATGTCGGGGTATTGTGAGATTATAATGACTTGTTGCAAGGTGAAAAAATGGTATGACACTTCTAATAAATAGAAAATAATAAAAAACTTCATTCTTTTTCGATATTTGGGTCACTACTCTAGCCCCAGGGACCGATGGGTTCCTATTTTTGCCTTCGATGCATGATCTCCGTCACTATTAGTATCTAATAACCTTTCGGATTTGCCTTAATCAAATAGAGAACGGTCTACTGCGAAGATTGGTGGGAGGGGGGTGAGCCGTTGTACTTTCTGGTCGCCATTGCAATTAAAATCTAAGTTCCCCGCCCACGAACGAAACCGCTGTAGGCGAAAGCTCTACTTGGATTGATTTTTTTTCTATTTTTTCTCTTTTTAGTTTAACTGGACGAGATACTTCACAGAGTTAACGGCCGATTTGAGTAATAACAACTCTTTCTCTGAATCCGAAGTAGTGTTTATCGAGGCTCCTATTTATCTGGCTGAGGTGGTGAAGATTTTAAAGAACAGACCCAAAGGGTAAGACCAGAAGTGATTGCAATAAATAAATAAACTCTTGATGATTCAAAGAAACTTTTCAAGGGTGGGGTAACTACGATATCAACAATTCACCGGTGAATCTGTGGACTCGATTTTATTTTTTGAACTGAAACTATTCGACAATTTTTTCAAACCGAGATCTGGCGAAAATTTGGAATTAGTAGCTACTTAGACAAGTGTCCTTATTACTTTCTAGCGAAGCGCTCGTCAATTAAACGTTCGGTAGGCGGCTTTTTTTTTTCAGTTGGCTGTTGCGCTCGCCTAAAAAACTAATAAATCAGAGAGATAAAAAGAGGAAAAATGGGTTAATAAAAAAGAATTGACAAACCCTCTAAAGCAGGTTAATCAGAAAGCTTTTGAAAATTCTCACGCATGGCCCGTTTGGAGTGACCTTCAAAGTCGTTTTACTGCAGGTTTACTTGGGGTGCCTGCGGAGTGATCCTCCCTCAAAGTCTTTGGAAACTCTAGAAGAGTGACAACTGACTCTTGGAATTTGTCTATTTAGAAAATGTAGGCTGATAACAGTCATACTGATACCAAAATCTCTCCATTAGAGTTGTTGCCAACTACATCACTTGGTTATTAATCCACGAGTATGGCCCATACCTTTCGACGAAGTTTCATGACGCTTACTTGACGTTCGCGAAAGTAGCTTACGGGATAAAGAGAGGAAGTGCGCTATGGCGGCGGTGCGTGCGCGGTACGACCAAGTCTGTCGATATGGGCGTGTCTATGTTGTTCGTGACTGACAAGAAGTCGGAGTTTACTAATGGAAGTATGCATCATGTAAGTATCACAATCTAATGCCAATTGCCAATTTTGCAATTGTCTATTACACAATTTACTTTGAGTGAAGGGCGGACACGTTTTAAACAGAACAACCATTATTATTATCAATACAGTCGAACAGGTACCAAAGAATTGGGGTGTTGTATAAAACGATGAAAAATAGCTATTTTTTAACCTGATATTGACCTCTTAATGCCCAAAAACTCGCACAAATTTACTGTCAACATTTATTTCGGGATAGGAACATGGAGTAAATCTTACTTGAAAGATTATTCTTAGTGTTTTTGAGTGATTTCGCTCAGAGTATACGTAACCTTGTAATTGCAATTGTAACATTGAAACGCTTTTTTTTTACATTAAAATTGTTTTTTCTGATGTACATCAGGCGGATCAAATGGTTGAGAATATACGCGAGGCATTCATTGATAACTTAAAATCCGTGAACTGGATGGACGAGAAAACGAAACAGGCAGCTGAAGAAAAGGTGAGGCTTAAACGTCTCCACGTTTTGAAACAATCACTAAATATTTCATCTTGTAATATGTTTTGATTTCAATATCTTTGTGTTGCAGGCGGAGGCTATGATTCAACAGATAGGTTATCCCCCATTTATCACGAATCTAACATCATTAGAGCAGTATTTTTCTGGGGTAAGTAACTTCAAGCTTTGTACATTTTTTATTCGTGTACACCCTTCCTATATTTGGTAATAACTGGTCCTTATGAATGCTTCAAGCGATGTCTATAATTTTTTTTTTTGTAGTTGGAAGTTAATCCTAAGACGTTTTTCAACAATCGACTCATGGAAAACAAAATAAGAATGAAAAACACTTTGGCAGCAAGAGGTCAACCCCCGAGTCGCTTCAGATGGGACATGCTGCCGACTGAATCAAATGCTTATTATTCTGTTGAAAGCAATAAAATCGGTTAGTGGTATGTTGCTTTGAAAAAAGACTGACTCTTAAAATATAGTCTGATCCTAGTCTCGTATCCAGACCTTCCACTGCCAAGCAGTTTTTTTTTATTACACTTACAGGTAGGATTTGGGAACGAGATCAGTCTGATCTATAAATCAATTGGATAGAACTATGGATGCTCAAACACCATAACTAAATGAAAAAAAAGGTTCATAAATATAAATCTAGTAGGCGATATACTAAATAGGGGGGGCCTATTGAAAATCGCTTGGGTGAGTTGGGTTCCTACATAAATAATAATTATTATTGTTGTTATCTTCATCACAACTATTACTGTTATTATCATTATCATTATCGTTGTCGTTGTCACTATCATCATAATATTATCGTAATTAATTGACGAGAAAAAAATTCTTATTCTTGGTACTTGATAGTCTTAATTCTTTGTTTCAGTTGTACCAGCAGGAATTTTGACACCTCCGTTTTATCACATAGCCGCTCCACAGTAAGTAGAAAAATCCCGATTTTTTGTTGTGCACAAGTGGTTTTTTTCAAAATGTTTTGTTTCTAATTTGTTCTCAACTGAAATCATTGCTCCTTCAGTTTAGCGATATGCATTCAGTTATTTTCTAAAAACTGCAAATCTTTTACATCTTTATCATAATTTGTTGTTTCTGTTTTTAGTGCGCAAAATTTCGGAGGAATAGGATTTGTGGTTGGACATGAACTTACTCACGCATTTGATTCTCAAGGTGTGTGTTTTTAGCGACGCGTCCTGTATTCTTTATAATCCTAACCTTTTTTATCAAAACAAGAACCGTAGTTGCTACGTCTAATCTTTTATTCGACAAGAAATATTTGTCGAAAAATCAAGACCTTCTATAGTTGGTGATCATTTCCTTCATTCTCATAACCTTTCTGTTTTATTCAGGGGTGATATCGTAAGGAGAATCTAGATGTTAGTCACTCTTATGGGTTTAAGGGTTAATAGAAAACTAAACACGCTTCTATCCTTTTCCAGGTGCAATGTTCGATAAAAATGGAAACCTGAAGAACTGGTGGGATAAAGAATCTTTTTCTGGTTTTGTGAGTCGAGAAGGGTGTATGAAGCGTGAATATGAGCAGTACTCAGTACAGGGACGCCATGTAAGTTATTGCGGTTTACCCCATCGTAAAACTTACATACAGCAAATCCTTTTTCCTGAAAGGGCACTATAATTGCATCTGGTATAAGTCTACTGAGGCCTATCACTAATGCTGCAGTCTGCTTGCTCTCTATTCTATATGATATGATAAGCTGAATAATACACACATTGATCACACACACATGATCTATTGGAAGACAGACTCATAGATAATGTCACCGTTAACAACATCGTTTTCATGTAAAACAAACAGATTCGATGTTGCGGTGGTTCTGTACAGTAATAGATCACAAATGACGTCAAAATGTGGTAGGAACATCCGTGACATGCTCAGTTGCTCTCCTACTGCTCACGCTTTTGTTCTTACTACATCTTTGATCTATTACTGAACAAAGGGGGTAAGTTTCTAAGAAAATTGTGCTGCTGCGTCGGCGGAAGAGTATAACAGGGTAATTTAGAGTTGTCAACTGAGTTGATAAAGTAAATTGGCCATCGAGCGTTAGCCTTTTGTCAGAGCGAATGACGAAGGACTAACGCTCGAAACGTTGGCTTTGAAACTCTTTTCAATTTACGTTATCAACTCTAACTTACCGTATTACTAAACAGACGCACGGCAGCATGAAATCTCTTTGTTAAAAAAGAGGGAGTTAAGTGAACAGCCTAACACTGTGACTGTGTAAACAGATTAAAATAACAGCACGAGCCTGTCTCGTTGTTAATTTTTGAGCGACAAATAGATCTATACTTAAACAATTGGGTCATTCGCTCTTAATTATATGCGTCACCGTCAACAAACATCACGCAATAGAAATCTGAAGCTCATAATCTAAATTTGTAAGTATGCAATTTAAAAGGACTGAGAGGAGTACAGTTCAAGGAGGAATTGTGTGAGAGATTTCAAATTGATCGAGGATGTAACGCGAGGATGATTTGAAAATACGAGCACGAGTGCCCCTTTCCAGCTTTTAAGTAGAAGGCTGATCTGAAGGCTGCTGTTTTCCAAATTTTATCACTTGGGTTAAAATATTCTAAAACCTTTCGTTTCTCTGTTTATTCTTCTACTTTACAAGCTGTTGACATTTTTGGATTCTGACCAATTTTTTTCATCACTGCATTAGTTGGATGGCTTAAAGACTCTAGGAGAAAACATTGCTGATAATGGCGGTTTGAAACTTGCTTACCTGGTAAGGGTTTTCGAATCTTATAACAAAATTGCCCGTGAATCTGTATCAATATCCTATGTATCTATCAGAAAACGACCAATCATAGCCACCACAATCGATTCCCAGGAAGGCAAAGTCGCAAGAAAATTAAATGAGAGATAAGCTACAAAAACCTGAATACATTCTTAAAGACGTTTAGTTAGAAGACGGGGCGCAAGAGGGAGGGAGAAGGTTTGACTCTCAGACCTACCAATGGCGTTTGTAAAAAAAAGGAGAATTTGTTTCACAATCAGAAGATTCAGGCAACGTTGAGGTAATTCTTAGATCACTGACATGCAGTATCTGAGCAATTGTGTGCATGTCCCTCCCCTACCCAACAACATTCATCTGATGACATATTAGGGTTAATGTTGGGTTAGGGGAGAGGTGGGTGATCACTGACACGCAGTATCTGAGCAATTGTGTACCTATCCCTCCCCTAACCAACAACAGTCATCTGATGACATATTAGGGTTAATGTTGAGTTAGGGGAGAGGTGGGTGCCCTGTTGCTTCGCTAATGACTTTGATCCTAACTTTTTCTTGACGATTTCTTTAAAGTAGCGCGAAAGATCACGCTGGGAACAGTTCTGGTATTGCGTACAGTCTACTGAGGTAATTTTTCGTTTCGTAACAGGCATATCACAAGTGGTCAGATGAGCACGATCATGACAGTACGCTGCCTGGGCTTGGTCTTACCTCAAATCAACTATTCTTCCTTTCTTTCGCTCAGGTATGATAAGTGGGTGCAAAGAACTATCAAGTCATGTTCTAATGTTCTAAATGATACTAAGCCAGACACAACATAATGAAAAAATTACGCATTCTTTTTCTTATTTAGATTTGGTGCGAGAAAACCACTCCTAGTTATGCATTGACTGATTTACAAATTGACGTGCATAGCCCGGGAAAATTTCGGTGAGTAACAATTGCAAGGGGCCATGTGTTTCACAAAGTCAGGATACAGTACGGTTTTGTGTTCAGGTAGTTTGCTTTGTCTTGCGACAGTGTCTTGCCTGGCATCCTTCTTTATATCGAACAACTGGCGACCAAAATTTATTTTTGTTTATCCTTGGTCAAAATTGATACTAAAGACTGAAAATGAAATTGTTGTTGACGACCCCAGATGTGCACTGCGTACTCGGGTAGGAAGCTTGATGAACGATTGCATTGCAACATTTGAATGTCTATTTCAAAGCGAACGTCGAGTTATTTGTTACTGACTCACTCAAGTAGCTAAGCAGTTGGTGCCAGAAAGTGGACTACTTAGAGAGAGACTGTCCACAAAAATATAGACTAAGATATTCAACTTTAAATTCAAATATAGGCCTCATTCATGTTACGGTAATTTTACGGCTCAGGGTATCTGGTCGTCTTGAAACAATGTTACATATATCCCACTTGCTATTTGGATACAAAATGTAGCTTGGTAAAGAACCGCGTAGGAGGTCCCTGTGCGAAAAATTAGTTGCACTATAGAGAATGGACTACCAAAAGGCCATTTTACAGTTGTGTACTTAGTTGCCAAGCACTTAGTTGCCTTAGTTAGATTTGGAGCGAGGCTGAAGGTGACCTTGTTGTGATGGGGACCAGTATCTAGTTAGCATGATAACAAAGTTCTTAGCATTTGAAAAGCAGCTAGGTTTGTATCATAACGAGGTCAACCTTAGCCTCACTTCTGTTCAAAGACCTGGCAACCAAGCATACAACTGTAAAATGGACTATTGACTACCAACGGGGTTGGGGTTCATAAGAAAATTACAGAGCCTAATGGGACAAAACCAAAATTTTCCGACCCCACCCACCCCTCACTCTTCCTCCTCCCCCGACGATAAATGATGACCTGTCCTTAATCTTTTTTCGTTTCTTGTCTTTAGAGTTGATGTTACATTAAAAAACAGTCAAGCTTTTGCCGAAGCCTTTAAATGTCCAACAGGAAGCCCAATGAATCCTGTCAACAAATGTGCCGTTTGGTGATTTCCTGCGGGTATAAAAGAGAATTGTATTATTATTTTTTTTCAAATATGAGTGTATTCCTTATTTATTTTCTTGAATGGAAATTTTCCCTGCCGACAAAACCTGCCATTGAATTGATAAAAGCAAATGCATTATTTAGATTTGGAATTGAATACAGTGAAAACTGGAAAAAGGATCGCCAAATACATCTTTCTCTGTTTTTGCATACGACGCACAGAGGAGGTAACATTTAGTGATAGTTTAACCCTTTAACTCCCAATATCTGATTGTTAATTCTCCCCTGTAGCTGCTACACATTTCCTTGTAAATTAATTACGAGAACTTGGTGCTAGATCAGGATAGCAGCTTCTACCTGATAAGTTTGAATATTCTCATTACCTGTTTGCTGAAGAATGTATGGATATTGTAGGGAGAAGTTTTATGTTAATCACTTCTGGGAGTTAAAGGGTTAATAGAGGGAAGGGTGATGTTTGGGACCTTTTTGTCTGTTAAACCTCAACACCTTAACATTAGGAGCCATACTCTTCATACTCTACTCTACACCTTTTCTTTGGTACTGACAAGGAGAATTTGTTTAACAATCAAAGTTTCTTAGGTTTGGCGATCGTTTCCTTCATTCTCATGATCTCAGTGAGTGATTCAGCAGTAGCAGTGTAATTAGAAATTAGATGCTGGTCACTACGGGTTAAAAGGTCAACCAAAATCTGTAAAGAAACAGAGTTGATGGCTCAGTGGTAATTATGGAGAATGTTTTAGTTTTATAGTTTTAATTTTAAAAAAATAAGATTAAAACGAAATTCATCGATCGATGTTCTTAAACTGGGGAAAAGAATTCATTTAACTAGGGTCAATGCCATGTCAAAATAAAATTATTAAAACCAGTGTTGTTTTGCTTGATTACTTTAACTAGTTAGTGCACCTTTATGAGCTTCATACTGGTATCTTAGGTGAGATGCTGCCTTTGTTATTTCTACGAATTTGTTGAATCAGGAGATTAAAGACTCCTGATTGAATTAAACGGCTGTGAAATTATGAAAGTCATATATTTGAACTGCGGATAAAGACGTGAATATGAAAGTGATCTTCGCAGTAATGAACAGGCCTGAATTTTTTTTCAGGCCTTATTTTCACTTCTACTCAAGTAGTGTTCATTACCGCGAAGATCGCTTTCATATTCATGATTGAATTAATTTAACGAGTAACCTCACATCAGCCCCAAATTTCTGTCCACTCTTTGAAAACAAGCAGTATTGGTAGACACCATTTGAAATTTGAAGGAATTGTATACAAAAATGTCAGTATTGTAAAAACCGCTGGGTATGTTGTATCAAATTAGAATTTTAATTATGTTTTTTGTCCTTTTGTGATCGTCCTTACTGATCTCGCGGCTGGTGACATTTTATGAAATAATTAATTGGGCATAACGAGACTTGCTTAATATATGTATAACCTGTCTTGGCTGGATGAAAACAGACAGCCTCACCGAAGAAAGAGCAAGGTAAAAGGACCATGAGCAATAATTACGACATTACTACTCCAGAAGTCGCCAATAGCGGAGGTATCAATTCCTCTGTGGTCATTTTGAACGAGTTTAGAGAGAGAAGCAAAGACGGAGGAGATGTGGCCAATATCTCGACAACAGCAGCGACTAATGGAGCCGCGCAGAGAAGAAAGATTTGTCTCATTGCAAAGTTGCAGTGCCTGTTTTTTACCATGAAAATTTTTGGATTGCTGTACGAAGAATATAACACTAATCACCCAAGCAACATTGTACGTGGTCGATGGATTTGTACTCTCATGAAACGTGTGTATCAGTTTTTTGTGTTGTTGGTTCTCTGGTTTAACGTAGGGAGGGTGTTCGCTTCATTTTGGCTTGATGAGAAACTGCTCAGTACCGACTACAGTCAGGCAGCCGCTGTCTTGCTTTGGTCCCTGCAAACCGCCTTACAAGCGTCTATCTGCGTCTACACTATGCAAATCACATCCAAAAAGTCCCCTTTGAAAAGCTTGTTGTTATATTGGAATTCGCAGCCCAACTTTGACGAGTTAGTGGTAGAGCCCTTCATGGTACAATGCGTCACGCGAACTCTGATTATAACATATCTCTTTATGGCGATAAACGCTGTGTTTTATGGCCTTGTTTTGTTTTATCCTTCGGAATCGATGCTATATCTTGCTCGCGCATTCCTGTCCCCATTCCCGCTCGATAACATGACTTTAAAGATTCTCTTCTTTGTGATATCAGCTTATTGCACGGCTGTTTGGGTGTTACCGTTTGCTATCTTCACAGCCGTTTGCCTGACTTTAATCCATCAATGCAGAAGTCTTAGAAAGACACTGCGCTTGACTGCTTCGGCTAGTGAAGTGAGAAGAGTCAAGACTTTAAGACAACAACATTCGTCATTATGCGGCTCTGTGAGAAAAGTGGACGACTTATTCAAATTTGTAACTCTCGTGGTTTATGTCACCAACATACCACTAGTTTGTTTTCTTTTCTACCGTTTGATTTTCGTCAAGAATAACGATGCGACGACTTATGTGATCATGAGTTTCTGGTCCCTTGTTGTGCTCTTTGCAATGGTGAGTGTATCGTTCCTTGGCGCCCATTTGAACAGCAAGGTAAGCTATCAAAGCTAAATTGCCCCCCCCCCCCCTCCTCATTAGTAAAGAAAGGGGTATGATCCAAAAAGGGAGATAATAATTTACCAACGTGCATTTGAAGTATGGTTGATAAGAGTAAATAAGTCAAGAAACAAAACATGAAGATACTTTCTCTGTGCACTGTGTTCGAGTCGATGGGCGAAGGCACCGTAAATGGGAGTCAAGGAATGTTAAATATTGTCGGAACCTTTAAGCGTTGTATGACTTTTTCTGACGCCCATTAGTTTTTCGAATACCAGATGGCAAAACAATAGAACGCGTAACAAAGAGACTAACTTTCAACCTTTGTACGTAATCGAGCTGATTGACTGAACTTTGCGACGGCGCGATCTTGTGCTGTCAAAGCGGCACTACTCATGAAAACTTTGAAATTGTAACTAAAGCAACAAGGAAGTTGAAATGTCGTAAAAAAAAAATTTTAGACAAATACATCTCAATCACATGTACAGGACTCAGTTGAGCCAATTAACGTAAGTCATTAAATGAAAGAGATGTTTGTTAATTCTCCCCTCTAACTGAACTGTTATACTTCCTTGTGAATTAGTTAGGAGAGTTTGGTGTTAGATCAAGACAACAACCTTCTACCTTCTTCCAAGCTGTTTGTTAACTATAAAAAATATGTGCTGTTAATATGGAGTTTTTTCGACCGGTCTTTCATAAACAAACCGATGAGTCATTTGATCTTTATCTGTGAAATAAACTATTGAATATGTAATGTAACTAAAAAAAAATAGGTCTTTATAATTTCCAAATCTTATTTAATGTTCAGAGTCATTCTTTCACGGAAGTTGTGCAGAAAGTTCAAATAGCTAACGTGGACTTGGACACTCATACAGAGGTTTGCCTTCACATTATTTTTTTCCAGATTACTGCGTTGTTGAGCCACGTTTAATAATTATCATTTGTTCCATTTTAGTTGATGCTGTTCGTGGCGAAGTTAAACGGGGACCCTGTGGCAATTACTGCAGGAGGACTAGTACCCATTACAAAACCGCTGATTGTAACGGTAATGTATCACATTTGAAAAGAGCTGTAAAATGTCCGCGCATGTCATGTAACTGCTCAGAGAAACTTGGGATGAGTTTT